AAATAGTTCACAGGGCAAACAAATGTCAAGTCAAGGTAATATTTTCAAAAGAATAAGACCGAGTTACATGCCCTTGACTGGAATCAAACCCAGGACCTTTTAGTCCTCAGGCTGATGCTCTATTCCCTGAGCAAAACAAGCTAGGGTTCTCCTCTTATTTGTAATACTATCTCTTTCCAGTCAAGCTTTTCCGATTCCCTCTTCCTCTCTGCTGCTCACCTTTCTAGGGGGCCCTTATTTCATTCCGTCTGTTTTCTTTTGACATGCCTTTCTCTTTTGTATTTACATCCTCCATCCTAATTCTAGTCGTGGGCAGTACAGTCAGTAAAGGCATAAGCTTTAGTCAGACCTGTGTTCAAACCCTGGTCCAGCCCCTGATCACTGGCTGATTACTTAACCTCTCTCTGGCCTAGTCTTCTCATGAGATGATGTTAGTACCTTCCTTGGGGGTTATTATGGGAACTACAGAATAATATCAATCCTAAAACCCTTTCATATGTGGCTGACACACCGTTAACTCCCCAAAGCTATCATCACCATATTTTTACTCCATTTTTTTTTTCTGTCAGCTAATTCTCGCTTGTTTTTATTCATCTCACTACTTCTGACTCCCTGATTTCCATCACAGGTGCCCTCGGGCTATCTTTCTCTTAACAATGGGAATCTAGAAACAGGCATAATCCGAACAAGAGATAGCAGCAGGTTACACGTGTAAAGTTACAAACCCACCAACACAGATAATAACGGAGACAAGCTTTGTGTTGGCACAGAGCACTTAGTCTGTTCTTTATCATTTCAGTCCTGCTCTGAAGGACCATTTGTGAGCCCTGAGGCACACGGAGCAACAATGACTGATTCAAGAACTTAAAATAAATCATGAATAAGCTCAATCAGATGGTTTCGCTGCCAGCTCAGATCTAGTGTGCACAGCCTCAGCCTCAGGGCGGCCCTCCGAGGAGTCGCTACAGTCCTGCCGCAGGTGAGTGAACACCCGGACAAAGGAGAGAGTCTGGCCGGATTCTCTAAAGGCCAGGACCTGAAGGAGGGCCTTCAGGAAGGATGGACAACTTCAGCACCGCAAGCTCACCTCGCTTCAGGATTTCATTGAAACCTTGGCTCCTTCAATCTGATGAGCATGAGAGACCAAAAGAATAGAACTATTTCACTACAGTGAACTTGGTTTATTAAAAGTAGGCATCCTGCCCTAACCAGCTTGGCTCAGGGGATAGAGCATGGGCCTGCAGACTCAAGGGTCCCAGGTTCAATTTATCAATAAAATATATTTTTAAAAAAAGAATACTCTTCTTTACATTTCCTGTAATACTGGTTTAGTGGAGATGAACTCCTTTAGCTTTTTCTTTTCTGTGAAGCTCTTTATCTGACCTTCAAAGTCTAAATGATAGCTTTGCTGGGTAGAGTAATCTTGGTCCCTAAATATTCTTAAAGAATGTGCTCTTTGTGATTGGAAGGAATACATTCAACTGCTTAAAGTATGGGACATTGAAACACAACCTGTCTACCCGCTAAAGGTTATAACCAAGTGACCATGGCCTGATACCAAACTGCCTTCTGGGTAGGGAAGGTCCTTCTACTCACAGGCTTTTATTTGGCTTATCAGGATATGCAGCTTTAGGGTAGAGCTGTATTGCTCAGGACAATAGGGCTGGTCTGAGCTTTCTCTGCTTTACCACCATGCCGTCCTGGGCTTCTCAGTGCATGCTGACCAAATACTATAGTGCCACGTGATTACGCCTCTGCCCAGGCCCCACCCTATAGGAAGGACGTATATCTGAGATCCAGATAATTAACACAGAGATAAATAAAGGATGCAAGAAGCACACCTACCTATATTTCAGAGCATTGTTATACCTCATCACCCCTGCCCTGTTCCTGGGGTAACCAATATGTAGGGAATGTAGTGACCTTCCTTGGACACCAGAACCCCTTTTTTATGTTTTTATTGATTTCTAGATAGAAAGAAAGGGAGAGGGATAGATGATGAGAGAGAATCATTGATTGGCTGCCTCCAGCACGTTCACTTCTGGGGATCAAGCCTGCAACCTGGGCATGTGCTCTGACAGGGAACAAACCACAATCTCCTGGTTCCTGGGTCGACGCTCAATCACTGAACCACACTAACTGGGCCAGAACCCCTTTGATGAAGTGCAATAGAAGAGGAGGCATGAAGACCTAGTTTCCAGAGTAGGTGAGGGTAGATCAAGCTGCCTGGTGATCGGGCCCCACAGAGGCTGCTTTCCTTGTCCAGTGGCTGAAGAAGTTCCCACAGGATTATGAGTTACCTATCTTGGAAGCCTCTTCCCTCTGCTCCCAATAGCATTCTGTGGTGAGGAACCAGCCAGGCGAGAGGTTCAGATAAGAACTGAGGACGAGCCAGTGGACATGAACAAGCTGTTTGACCTCAGGGAATATAATGGAGAGGAGATCGTTTAGCGGTTCTCAACCTGTGGATCGCAACCCCTTTGGGGGTTAAACGACCCTTTCACAGGGGTCGCCTAAGACCATCGGAAAACAAATATATAATTACATATTGTTTTTGTGATTAATCACTATGCTTTAATTATGTTCAATTTGTAACAATGAAATTGGGGGTCACCACAACATGAGGAACTGTATTAAAGGGTCATGGCATTAGGAAGATTGAGAACCACTGGTTTAGGGTGTGATTCCTAAATGAATCCTATTGCCAGATGCCAGAATAGCTGCATTAGAATTACATTGGAAGACTAAAAATATAGGCTCCTGGGCATCACCCAGGAAAATTCTCATCTTATTTGGCTAGTCAGAAGTTGGCAACCCATGCGGCTGGCAACCCATGTTTTTGAAAAGCTTCACAGGGTGCCATGGTGCCCTAGCTCATGGAGGAGTTGACTTGTAGGAAAAAGTGCTAGGTCACAGGCTATGGCCTGCAGTAGTTTATCAGGAGTCAGAGATGTTTGGTAGTTCTCAAAGAAAGACACTTAAACACTTTATTGACTTATGTTTCATAAATTTAAAGTGAAATGCACTCCTTCTCATCCCTCTTTAGACTATTCTGAAGTGGATTTGTGTTGCCTGTAAAAAAAATAAAAAAATTAAAAAAACTACAAAAAAAAAAAATAAAACCTTTCTAACACAAAGAATTAAAGCCACAGAAGACTTTTTATATTGTCAAGTAAAACTATAACCTTCCCAACCTGTCCCTATATTTTTAAGAAAAAAATGCTTTCTCAAAGTTGGTGCAAGAATCAGAAGGTCTGTTTGGTCAGTTACTCTTGACTGGTATTCAGTTGACATGGAACAGTTTATCTTCATGAACATACTTTTATGTCATGCAAGGTTTCTTTACATGGGTTAAATTTACATTTTATTGGGTTCTATTATATAATTTTACATACTTGCCACAAAATAAATAAACCAAAGGCTTAACAGTTGATTAATGAAGAGTAGTGATAAAATTGGTAACACAAATACTTCAATGAAAAATCATTTTTAATCCTAAAGAACTTCTTTTCAAACATCTGTGAATGTGGTGATTTTATACCACATAAATAAAATTAAAAAGTGTAAAAAATACAACACTAAATCTGGTCATTAAATTTTATGGGACCAGTGATCTGTTTGCCTCTTTATGAAGACTTTGTTAAACATGTCTACAGTAGAAGAAAAATATTTTATGTCTATATTCTTTTCTTCACTTGTGGCAATGGAATCTTGGCCACAGAAATTAGTATATGCACTAGTCTTAATCATCAAAATTATCTTCCTGACCACTGTCATTGGTTCCACCATGGACACATGTCCCAATCTGGGACAACCAGAGTCTTCTCTATGTCAGTTATCCACCTATAGACATTAGGAGAGGGTTCTATTCCTCAGGGATCACAAGCCATGAGGATTATGCAACCTTTCAGCTGTCACGTGTAAAGAACTTGCCTGAAAGTGAAACAAACAGTAAAACATAGAACCAAGAAATGGCAAGGAAGGGCAGAGGCCTAACAGTGTTCTTTAAGCTTCTCAGTGAGATATCCCTCAACTTTTTCCCTCTCTGCAATTTCAGTTATGAGTCGATGTATTCCTCCCACTCCTCCTTGGGCTCGTTTGAGTTGGATTTCCATCACTGTATATAAGTCCTGTCTAACAAAGAGGTTTTCTATAATTGTCTAACAAACACAGTGACAACTGTGCTAAAGCAATCTGCTTTTCTAGTGCCAGGTCAGGAAGAACTGTTGGCGAAACCCCTTTATCAAATGATACTGCCGTATAAACACAATGTCAATAACATACAATGTGAAGTGAAAGGTGTGTCCTAGAGCACCTTTTGCGTTATAGTAGGTTGAAGCGATTGATACACATAGCATGAATAAGTTCTTGGCATCTGTGAAGCCTTTATAAGAGATGGCAGCGCTTGATTACTTGCTTCTGGTTGTCATTGAAAACTCATGCTGTAGAGGGAGAATGTTCATGTAAGTTATTTGATGAGCAATGGTGTAAATAGGAAAAAGCATTGGGGTTACTCCTACTGTGACAGCACCTATCTACACAGCCAATTCACATGCTGCTTTATTGACAGAGAACAAACAGTTGGTTTTTTAACAATATGACTCATGGAAGAAAATAAAGAATTCAAGTTTTTAACAGGTACTGATCAATGGAGACTGTTTCATTTCAGGTGGTTGGGAAAGAAATGACATCGTCTTCATTTCCACTGTGAAGTTTATTTGCTATGAAAGCAAAAAACATCAGGTTGTGTGAGTGCGATGTGAAAAAACACATAAATTTACTATTTCCACCATGTTTCAGTGTACAGTGCAGTAGCGTTAAGTGTGCTCACATTGTTATGCAGCAGACCTCAGAGCTTCCCTAGTACAACACTAAAACTCCAAACCCACTAACCACCATCCAGGTCTTGATAACCACCTTTCAGTATTGTTTCTATGATTTTGACTTCTTTGGAATCCTATAATATTTGACTACTTTAGAATCGTATATTTGTCCTTTTGCTACTGGCTTATTTTGCTTAGCGTAATGTCCTCAAGTTTCATCCACGTTGTAGCATGTGACTGGATTTCCTTCTTTTTAAAGATTGCATTATATTCGTTGTATGTATACAACACGTTTCCTTTTTTCATCAACTTGTCAATGGACATTTGGGTTGTTCCCATATCTTGAATATTGTGGATAACACTGCAGTGAACAAGGGAGTGCACATAAGTCTTTGGTATTCTTATTTCAGTCCTTCTGAATACATACCCAGAAGCAGGATTGTTGAATCATATAGTAGTTTTACTTTTTTTTTTCCTTAGGAAACTCCATACTGTTTTCCATAACAGCTGCATCGTTTTACATTCCCAGCAACAGTGCGTAACAGTTTCAACTTCTCTGCATCCTCACCAACACTGGTTTTCTGTTCTTTTGATAGTTGGCATCTTGAAGGGTGTAGATGATGTCTCATTGTGGTTTTGATTTGCATTTCCCTAATGATTAGTGATGTTGAGCACTTTTTTTATATTCCTGTTGGCCATTTGTGTATCTTCTTTGGAGGAATGTCAAGTCAACTCCTTTGCCCATTTTTAAATCATTATTTGTTTTGCGGTTGCTGTTGAGTTGTAGGGGTTCTTTATGTATTCTTGATAGTAACCTTATCACATACATGATTTCCAATTGTTTTCCCCCATTCTGCAAGTTGTGTTTTCACTCTATTGATTGTTTTCTTTGACATAAAATGCTTTAAGTTTGGTATACTCCCATTTGTCTATTTTTTATTTTGTTGCCTGTGCTTTTAGTGTTATATCAAATAAATCATTGTCAAATGTAATGTTCTGAAGATTTTCCCTATGTTTTCTTCTGAGAGTTTAATAATTTTAGGTCTTATGCTTAAGTAAGTTTTTAATTTATTTTGCCTTAATTTTTGTATATGGTATTAGGTAGATGTCCAACTTCACTCATTTGCATGGAATATCCAGTTTTCTCAATACTGTTTCTTGAAGAGACTGTCCTTTCTTCACTGTGTAGGCTTGGCATCCTTGTTGAAAATCATCTGGCCATATGTGCAAGGAGTTATTTGGGGGCTCTCTATCTGGTCTCATTAGTCTGTATATCTGTCTTTATGCCAGTGCCACAATATCGCGATTACTGTTGCTTTGTAGTATCATTTTGAAATTAGGCAGTCTGAATTCTCCAACTTTGTTCTTTTTCAAGATTGTTTTAGCTATTCAGGCTCCCTTGAGATCCCACTTGGAATTTTATGATTTTTTTCCCATTTCTGCAAAAAAATGCCATTGGAATTTAGATAAGGATTGTATTGAGTTTGCATCAGTTGAGATGATCATGTGGTTTTTGTCCTTTATTTTGTCCAGAGGAGGGGTTTTGGAAGTGTCCCCTTCTGCTCTGAGGAGCAGTTTAAGGTTTGGTGTTTATTTTTCTTTAAAAATTTGGTAGAATTCTACAGTGAAGGCACCTGGACCTGGGCTTTTCTTTGTTGGAAGGTTTTTGGTCAATGTTTCCATATCCACATTGTATTCAATGTAGTTATAGGTCTGTTCAGATTTATTATTTCTTCAGGATTCAGTTTTGGTAAGGCTTATGTTTCTAGGAATTTACCCATTTCTTCTAGGTTGTCCAGCTTGTTGAGGTATAATTAATCATAGAAGTCTCTAATACTCCTTTTTATTTATGTAAAATCAGCTGTAATGTCTCCTCTATCCTTCCTAGTTTTATCAATTTGATTCTTCTCTCATTTTCCTAAGTAGTCTAGCTAAGGATTTGTCAATTTTTGTAATCATAAAAGAATAATAAGTTCTTGGTTTTGTTGATTTTATTCCCTACTATTTTTCTAATCTCTATTTACCTTTGCACTAATTTTTTAAAAAATATTTATTGCTGAAAGTATTAGATATGTCCCCCTTTTATTCCCATTGGCCCCTTCTAGCCCACCACCACCCCAGGCCTCTATAACCCTATCACCTGTGTCCATGGGTTAGGCATCTATGCATACAAGTATTTTGGTTGATTCCTCCCACCCATTCTCCCCTGCCTTCCCTCTAAGTTCCAAAGTCTGTTCCATGCTTTTATATCTCTGGATCTAATTTGTTCAACAGTTTATTTTGTTCATTAGATCCCACATACGAGTAAGATCATGTGATACTTACCTTTCTCTGACTGGCTTATTTTGCTTAGCATAATACTCTCCAGATAACTCGATGCTGTCTAAAAGGGTAAGCAGTCCTTCTTTTTTTACTGCTGCATAGTATTCCATGGTGTAAATGTACTACACATTCTTTATCCACTCATCTGTTGATGGGCACTTGGTCTATTTCCAGATCTTGGCTATTATTGTAAATTGTGCTGCTATGAACATTGGGGTGCATACATTCTTTCGGGTTGATATTTTGGGTTTCCTGTAAATATTCCTAAGAGTAGGATCACTGGGTCAAATGGCAGTTCCATATTTAATTTTTTGAGGAAACTCCATACTCTAATCCATAATGGTTGCACCAGTCTCCATTCCCATCAGCACTTTTCTACACATTCTTGCCAGCACTTGTTATTTGTTGATGGTAGCCATTCTGACAGGTGTGAGGTAATACCTCATTATTGTTTTAATATGCATCTCTCTGATGATCAGTGACTTTGAGCATTTTTACGTGTCTCTTGTCCATCTGTATGTTCACTTTGGAGATTTGGCATCCCTTGTATATTTTGTATATTAACTCTTTATCAGATGTATCATTGTCAAATATGTCCTCTCATACAGTGAGTGAAATGTTCTATAAATGTCAATTAAATTCATCTGATCCAGTGTATCATTTAGAGTCACTGTTTCCTTGTTAATTTTTTTGTCTAGAAGATCTATCAGTGAAGTCAGCGGGATGTTAAAGTCCCCTACTATGACTGTATTGCTGTCCATCTCTCCCTGAAAGTTCTGCGGAAGTTATTTTGTATATATTTAGGTGCTCCTTTATTGGGTGCATATTTGTTTACCAGGGTTATGTCCTTTTATTGGATCAATCCCTTTAGTAGTGACTTTTATTGTCTCTTGTGATGGCTTTCATTTTGAAGTCTATATTGTCAGATATGAATGTGGCCACCACAGTTGTTGTTTTTTTTTCATTTCCATTTGCAAGGGAAAATTTTTCCCTTAACTTCACTCTCATCCTGTGTGAGTTTTTTGTTCTGAGTTGGGTCTCTTGTAGACAGCATATAGTTGGGTCATGTTTTGTATTCATTCAGCTACCCTATGTCTTTTGATTGGAGCATTTAATCCATTTACACTTAAGGTTATTATTAATAGGTACTTATTTATTGCCATTTATTTACTCATTTTACTAGGTTGCTCTAATTCTTCTTCTCATTACAGTAGTCCCTATAGCATTTCTTGTAGTGCTAGTTTGATGATGACAAATTCCTTTAGCTTTTTTTTTTTTGGTCTGGGAAGCTCTTTATTTTACCATCTATTTTGATTGATAGCCTTGCTGGATATAGTAATCTTGGTTTCAGATCCTTGCTTTTTATTACCTTGAGTACTTCATGCCGTTCCCTTCTGGCCTGTGGAGTTTCTGATGAGAAATCAGCTAACATCCTACGGGAACTCCTTTGTAGCTAACAAATTGCTTTTCTCTTGCTGCCTTTAAGATTCTCTCTTTGTCTTTAATTTTGGGCATTTTAATTATGATGTGTCTGGGTGTGGGCCTGTTTGGGTTCTTCTTGCCTCCTGAACTTGTGTGACTTTTTCCTTCACCAGATTAGGTAAGTTTTCTGCCATTATTTCTTCAAACAAGTTCTCTGTCCCCTGCTCACTTTTTTCTTTTCCTGACACTCCAATTATGAGAATACTGTTATGATTCATGTTGCTCCCTTAACCTGTCCTCCTGTTTTATAATTGTTTTTTCTTTTTGGTTCTCTGATTGAGTGATTTTTTTTTCTGTCTTCTAATTCACTGATCCAATCCTTGGCTTCCCTTATCTGCTGTGTATTCCTTCCAATGTGCTCTTTATTAATGCTTGTCATTCTTCATAATTACTGTATTCTTCCTCACGCTGTTTAGCATCTTTGCCATCATTATTCTGAACTCTGTATCTAATAAATTTCTTATCTCCATTTCATGTATGTCTTCTTTGAGAGAATCCTCTTTTTCTTTTGTTTGGGCTTGTTTGTTTGTTTTTTGTCTCCCTGTTTTGGCTGCCTGTTTGGGTTTGTGACTGGGTATTAGTAGATATGCTACACATAGCAGTCTCTAATGCAGGGCAATGTCACACGCTGTTTTGAATGGTCCTGTGTACCTTATTGGAGCTATCAACAATCCACAGCTATGACTCCCTCTTCTGGGTCTGGGTACCTTTGGAAAGGACCAAGATATACACCAAGGCCTGCTTTTCTGAGCCCTGGGCCCCAAAGGATAAATACTGTATAATCTGACTAGTATGAGCTACAGACAATAGTCTAATTCACAGAGCATCTTCATCTGTTAGCCGGTTTTTTTGTTCATTTTAATATTATTTAATGCTGAGAACAAAGTCTCACAAAAATATGTTGATGAAAAAATTGTTAGCAAAGCCATCGCGTAATTCTTTTTTGTATGTTTCCTCTAAAAAATATAATTTAAAAACATGTTCATCTGGCCTGGCCGGCATGGCCCAGTGGTTGAGCATTGAGCTATAACCAGGAGATCACAGTTCAATTCCCGGTCAGGGCACATACCCAGGTTGTGGGCCAATTCCCAGTGCAAGAAGCAGCTGATCAATGATTCTCTCTCATCATTGATGTTTCTATCTTTCCCTCTCCTTACCTCTCTCTGAAATGAATTATATATTTTTTTTAAAAGCACAACAACAACAAAACAACATGTTCATCTGATTTCCAATCACTTAATCAAGTGAACGGGCATGGTTAGTGCCATATGCAATAGTCATGTCCTAGGCATCAATAATACCCACACTGAGATCCACATAAATGTCCCTCATGATAAGATTCTGACTAAAGCCATGAACGTCACCAAACATCTCTGCATGCAGACACAGCTCCCTGGTGTTTACTGTTTAAGCAGTGGTTCTCAACCTTCCTGATGCCGCAACCCTTTAATACAGTTCCTCATGTTGTGGTGACCCCCAATTTCATTGTTACAAATTGAACATAATTAAAGCATACTGATTAATCACAAAACAATATGTAATTATATATGTGTTTTCTGATGTTCTTAGGCACCCCCTTTGAAAGGGTCGTTCGACCCCCAAAGGGGTCGCGACCCACAGGTTGAGAACCGCTGCTGTTTAAGGATCACCTTGGTCTCTGGGCTGCGCAAGAGCAGACACTCAGTGGCCTTTTGCAAATTGATGGCCCTACTGATGAAAATGCTGATGGGAAAGGGTCTGAAGTGCTGTGTCTGTCTCCTGCTACCTGGTCAATTTCCCATGGGATATAGTGTTCATCTTTCACAGAGAACAGATTCGTGGTAATAAATGGATGACCATGCTTTCCCCACTGAATCAAAATGTCTTCCAGCATCCAGAAGCATGTGGTTTAAAGACCCCAGTTCCACGGTGGTCAAAATATTTGAAGGCTAGTGGAAAAGAAGTTGATAAATCTCTTAACAAAAAGAAAACAAAGATGAAATTTTAAAATGCACACAACATGTCTAAAATTCTATCCAAGGTCATTTCTAGCTAGAATAGATTTGCTGCCTATGGAAGGTAGTGAACTTTACCAAAAACATTAAAATCTTAACAAAATTTGGAACTCTTTATAAGAATATAAGATGAAGAAGAAAAATGTTAATATTCGTGAATAAAATACAAAATGTAACATTTTATTAAAAAACCTAATCAGAAAAGAAAAGCAAAGAACTCTAATTAGGTAAAAATAGGCTCCAAAATGCAACTGTAATTTCAAAATAAAATAACATACATACTTTCAGAACTTTCTGTAAGTAGTTGACACAATGTTGAATCTCCCATGAGGTGAGTAAGTCTCATTTTACTCCATCTGTTGCAAAATGCTGTGACCCACTTTTCCACAGTATAACCCCTGGGAAAGGTATCTTCATTCCAACCTGGCATTTCTTTTCTAAGTTCTAACTCTGGCAATAAAAACTCTCACAGTAAGTCATTTTTATTACCACAAATAATTTAGGAAA